CTACTGTATTATAAAGACTTATGGATATATAAATTTAATGGCTATTGAATTTGATCTTTGCGTAAACTGAATCGAAATTTGTTTACATTTTTAATACTGTTTACATCGTTAAACTAAATGTGTTATTTATTGTTATTTTTTACTGCAGAAGTGGCGAGCCATGTCTTCTTTTCAAAGATCGCTCATTTTCCTGCTGTGTATTCTTGGTTGTGTCACTTTTTTGTTGTGGCGTAAAGGACTAATGTGGCAAAACTTTGAAACTGACAATATGGATGAAACTGTAGGTCATCAAGGTCACCAGGTTTCTGAGGAACATTCTCCAAAATTTAACAGAGTGAATAAACATGAAATTATTGAAAATAATTTGAAAGAACTGGAAGAACTCAGGAAGCAACGTGCCCTGGTAATAAAGAAAGGGCCTCCAAAGTTGAAAAATAGGGATAAACCAATTGATGACAATATAGATGATAACAAAAACCTAAATTCAAATGAAGAAACAAATGAGGGGGAGATTCATGGTGATACAGGTGTACATACTGAGGATAAGCTGCCCGGTGATGTTGGAGCAGACACTGCTGGCGACGGTGAAGCAAATCCTGTAGCTGTAGAAAATAATGAGAATTTTGCTCTGAACATAAATGGAGTTAAAATACTTCCATTAGATAAGCAAAGTCAGCATCAAAAGAAGGTTGTAGAAGCATTCAGACATGCCTGGGAGGGTTATAAACAATATGCATGGGGTCATGATGAATTGCGTCCTATTTCCAGATCGCATAGCGAATGGTTTGGTATTGGGCTGACAATTATTGATTCACTGGATACCATGTTGTTAATGAACCTGCGTGAAGAGTTTCAACAGGCTTGTGAATGGGTAGCCAACAGCTTGACCTTTGAGAAAAATGTTGATGTGAATTTGTTTGAGACAACAATCCGTGTTCTTGGAGGACTCCTGAGTGCATACCATTTGTCACGGGATGACCTGTTTTTGAGAAAAGCGGTAAGTAGTAATGAAAAAGAAATATCTTTGGAAGGATTAGTTGATAAGTTATATTGAAGCATGAATTTTTCCAATGCCTGACCTTTATTCCAAACATCAAATACTAATCAGCTTTTTGAACTGAGCACTTACTTATTATTCACATATAGAATGGTTCAGCCATATGTTTCATGTTTGTGTTTCAGCTAAATGTTAGATCTTCACTAGTGCTAAGCTAACATCGAGCTGATACATCTTCCCTATCTTTTTCGGCCTCTTGGTGGAGCGAAAGTGTTTTTGAAAAATGAAAAATCAGTTCTTGATTAACTTGTTGTGCTCTTAGGCAGAATTTGTTAAATTCCGACAGGTGTTCAAGCGTTACAATACCATCTTAACTGTGACTTGATCTTTTCAGTTGCAGCTGAACATTTTCATTCCCGTTGTATGTGAATTACTCAGCGCGGCTAATTCTAAGTGTCAACCTTAATCCGAACGTTTCTTTCTGTATATACATCTCTCCTTGTAAAGTGCCGATTTATCAACAAAGTTCAAAGCAAAGAGAGAAACTCAATACAAAGTGAATGGGAAAAAAACTGAGAACCTTAAAGAAAAATAAAGAAAGCAACGTGAAATTTAATGCTTACTTAACTTCAGTTAAGGGAGGTTACTTCAACTTTGCATGTCTACTGATAGTTATTTTATGCGATTACTCTTACTGTTTCGCCGAAATTTTTGTTCCCCCCTCTGCAAACCGTTAAAGATTAGGTGAGCTCCATTTTATCAGCTAGCTCACTGATTATTATTTTCAGCGATAAGTATCGATTACCAGGGTAACGGTGGTAAAAAATAATGCACATTGTGCTGGACTTGTAAAGGCCGAAGGAGGCCTCCTTGCTTTAAAAAAAGAAAGAAAATATCATGTATTTAGCAGTACGCGTTCATTGGAAAAATTTATTTTTCCAGACCACCAGTCTTTATCGTCAGTATATCTATCAATTTAGTAAAAAATTTTGGAGACGTCTTTTAAAAGAAGCAAAAGTTTCATGCAGAATGCCCTTTATCACTGGGTAAGGAATTCCAAATTTTTGGTCTTTGAAAAAAAAAAAGAAAAATATTTAACATTGGTTCACATTAATGAGATCGGTAATCAGTGCCTATTCTAGTGTTATTCAAATGCATGAGGTTATTGGTGACAAATAGATTAAGTGATGACGGCGTAAACAAATTTTCGTAAACAAATTTAAGCTAACGAATATTTCCTCATTTTACCAATTTTTATCATTTGTGTATTTATCTTTGTATTTCTTATCACAACACTGACAAGAATGTCGCCATGTCAGGTTTTTTATCCGATATTGTTCAGCACATATTATCAGAAATAACTCGCGCGTGAGAAGTACCACATCCACGTAAATCGTTAACAGAGCGCTTTTTTTCGGGTCCTGTGTTGTTTGGTCGTCATAGAAGGCTGCTCAAAGAGTTTTTGGAGTTCTCTTTATTTGAATAAGAGAACAGTAAGATATCCAAGTACAACGCAGAGTTATCCTGTTATTTTTCATCACGTTCTCAAATGTGTTTCATTGAAAGTCTTTTTCAATCTCTTTCTGACATTTTTGACAATCAGAAACTTTAC